AATTTAGTTCATCAATTATGTGAGATAAGGAAGCCAATCTCATATTTTGCAACCCCTGCCTAAAGAAGGTTGAGCTGGAAAATAGACCAACAACCTATTTTAACAAGAAATATGAAAATGTTTGAGGAAATTAATGGAATGGAATACAATAGGATGCAATTGAAAAACAAGTGTGATTAATTAAAAAAGGACTGAAATTTTTGGAAGGAATTGAAATGAGGATCAACGTGTTTGGTTTGGGATCCGATCAAACGGACTATTGATGTTGTTGAGAGATTGGAGGTGAGAATAGATCAAACCTACATATTATGACTTTCTTTTCTTGGATTGTATGAACATATTCATGTCCCGTTATATTGCAGGTAGTGTCAACCGCCAAAAAATTAAATTCAATGACATTAATCCTGATCTAGAAGAGAAGTTGGACTGTATGTTTAGTGAAGTTATGGAAATGGTGAATAATGCTTGAACCTCTAATGAGCGAAGAGTTTGCAGACATACCTGAGAACTTGGATGTCGAGCAAACAATTGATTCCAATGAAGGCCCTAGCCCAAACCAAAATGAATTAGAGTCCACTGGCAGGATAAAACGTCCACGGGTGGAGAAAAAGAAAAAAAGAATGGGTTGCTTTCATTAGAAGCCGAGGACACACCAATGATCCTGGGACTTCACAAGTGACCTCCATCCAACAAATTATCTGAGTTTTGGAAGCAAGTCCAGAAATTTATGATGACATATCGTTATATTAGATCTTCGTGAAGTTGCTAGAGGACTCGACCCATAGAGAGTTTTTCATGATGATGACCACTGACCGTATGATCAATTATTTACGTTATTTTTATGACTATATAGACACTTGATTTTATTTATTTATCTTGTTACTATTTGTATTTATTTTTTTGTAAGTTTATCAAACTTCAACTTTAAATGTTTTTTTCTTTTTCCTTAATGCTACTTTGGATGTTTGTATTTTCATCATACATTTTGTAATTCGTTAGTCGAAGTTTATTTATGATGTTTCTTGGCAATAGATTGCTATCATTATACATAATTAGGTGATTCTCATGTCTTACTTGAATAGAGCACTTGTTTAACATGGATTCACAAAGAGAGAATGCAGAAGGAGAAATGTGACAACAATATGTTTGATGCACGAGTACTACAACTTATACATAGATCAGTCTCCTTGCATGACATCATCTTACATCAGTGATAAATGAGTTGGGGAGCTACTTGAATGACACTTTATAAGATTCAACATGTTTTGTATGACACGTATTTATAGATCTTTTAGATGAATAGGAATCATGGACTTCATGACTCCTCCAAGATGACATCCAGAGAGGTGTTAACAATGACCCTCTACATTTTGTCACATAATGAATCAATTAGAGGAGCGATGGAACGATTTCAGTATTCATCGAGGACAATCGCTAGACTTTTTAGTGGGGTTGAATGCTCTTGTTTGCTTGTCATAAAAAAAATTATCAAGCTTGAGGATCCAACATTTGAGAGGACTCCAACAGAGATTGCAAATGACCTGCAGTATATGTCATTTTTAAAGTAAATCTTTTTACTCATTATATTCAGAAGTCAAAATGAATAGTGTAATTTACACAACATTCTTTAATTTGTTAGAATTGTATTGGAGCGATCGATTAAACATAAGTAGGGTGGTATGGATCATCAATACAAAATGTGATGATTGTATGTAATTTCAACATATGTTTTACTTTTATTAGTATTGGTTAGCAGTGCGTATGACAGTCGTATATTCACATTTGACCCAAGAAATCAGAAGCACAACTTCCCTCACCAACTCTCAGGTTTGTTCAACCAGTTATCCTATTTAGATTTTGTTTCAATCCATGTCTAATTATTGTCTTTGTGACAGAGAAATATTATTTGATCCACGTTGGATATCTCTGGCAAATGGGGCATCTGAAGTCATTTTCGGATACCAAATATCACATCATCGACTTTGAAAGATCCAAAAATGTTGCTCGGGGCAGGAAATAAATGTTGAACAAAAGACAATCGTCCTTACACAGTGTAATTGAAATAACATTTGGAGTGTAGAATAAAAAAAAGGGTTATACTGTGTGATATGTTGAAATATTCATTTTTCGAAATAGGTGTAGATTGTGGTAGCCACAATGAATGTTGAATGGATCGATTGTATTTTTTTTTCTTATTACTACTTTCTTTACGATGGATGGTGAAAATTATTGTTGTTTGTTGTATCGATATTCTGTCAAATCATTTAAATTTTGAATCTCAATATTATTTGTCACTCCTTTGCATATATTATTCCCCACCTAGATTGTCGAAAAGGCAACCGTGGATATAATATGGTTTATAAATATTTATTGTATGTTTATTTTTATTTTTTTGGAGGTCAATGATGAGACATGCGACCTTAAGGGTTTTCTGAATGGCCAATTTGTCCATTTCTTGTCACATGTGAAATCTCAATAAAAACAATCAAGATTATTTCATTTCTTCTGTGTCATGGTTTTTGTAAGCTCTTTTGGATGTCTTGTTTTTTGGTGATATGCTTGTGTGACATATTTGTGTTTTGAATGTAATCAAGAACCCTTTTTTTTAACGTATGTTGCCTTTTGGAAGTGACAGATTCGTTAGTTTATGCTATGTTCTTTGAGACCTCGGGGTTTAGTAAAGTTTACATTGTTCAATTATATATTTTTTTTCGATAATATTACATCTAAGGATTTGTGCTTTGTTGTGTTAAACCTTCAGAAAAGACGAGTTCAATGACTTTGGGTACTTCCAGAGGATTATACTGCTACTGTGGACTACCATGCTCCCAGCTTACTTTGTGACAGTCACATAACTACGAGAGACAATTTTACGGGTGTCCGAGACAAAGACAAGAAAATTGTGACTTCTTTAGGTGGACAGATGGGTTGGAGGAATCGACAGCTAATAGTGATCGGATGTGGCAGGTTTCCCTGGAGTACGACTTGTCTCGTGTCCTACACCAGCTGCATTTTAAAAATAATATCATTATATTATTGTTCATTATTTTATTGTCCTACACCAGCTTAAGTGATGTGTTTATTTTTATTTTGTAATGCTTGAATTGGATATTTGCTTTCATGTATGGGAGGAGCTAGTATGAACAGTTCTGTTGTAAACAACATTACAATATAAGAGCAGAATGATCATTTGTCCAAAAACAACTACAACACAACTGTTTTCAAACTGTAGAAGACAAACATACAACTAACTTATCCGCAACAGCTTCTGCACAACAGCTTCCTGCCACAGCTGCTGCGCATTAACTTATATATAAGTTGCAGCTGCCCCAAAAATACCCTAATTTCATCAGATGATTACAAAATATGGGGATTAATTAAAAGTAGAGCTCCTTCCCCTAAGGGGTTGTTTGACTGCAAGTAGGATTTAAGTTCAATATAATTTAGTGAATCTGATAAACCAAGATTTATCAAATCTAAATATTGTTAAATCTAAAATAATGTTTGGTTTAATTAAGATTAAATTCAGTTGATGTATTTTCCATAAATTTCTTTGAAGTATTTTCTTCCTAAGCTAAATCTGTTAAATCCAACTAATAGTTGGATTAAATAAATACAAATTTAAGTCACAAAATAAACGGAACAAGAAAAAAATTGAATTTAACATGATGTTGTATTTGGCTGAAATTTTGTTGAATGAATACTAAATTAATACTTAAATCCTATTAAAAATATAGTGCCAAACATCACTAGAGTTTTTCTTCTCTTTTGCACCAGAGATGGTACGCACAATGCACTACCATCCCATCCTATTCAGGGAGAAAATATTACATGCAGATAATATGCGTATGAATTGGTAGTATTCATCTGACATTATTGTTGTATTGTGATGAATAATAATACAATACCATCAAATTCACACCTATCCTTTCCGCACATAATATTTCTTCTTATTTACTCAATATATTTACTGCCAGAAAATCTTTTTATATTTTTTTCCTTACAGCAAACTCAGAGAAGTTACTGTTTCAGATCCACCGTGCACTGGTAACTGATCATTTCGAGACTTTGCAGGTCATTCTCATCCCTTCCTTTTTTTGCTGCTTCCGTCTTGTTTCTTCTGCAAGTGTTTTATTGATTCCTCCACAATATACATATTTCTAGTTGCTTGTCTTCTTTGCATCGCTTCTAATTTTGCTATTTTTTTGGTATTCTTCTCACTTTTGGCTGCACTTTCTTTTTCTGGGTCTCTTTGGGGCGGGGGTTGGATGCAAATAGGATTCAGTAAATCTTGGTGACTGTTGCTTGCTAGAGAAGGCAATGTTATGTAAAGATGTGTTTGTGAGACCACCCATTTAAGTTGCCCAATGTCAGAATTTACTCAATCCAATATTTAAGGCAAAACGGAGTACAAATGATACTTGAGGCGATGTTGGTAAATTTGGATTTATGAAATTCATCTTTTTGAATGCGAGAATATTTGATTTAACAGAGAGTAAGATTTAAATTTCACTTTTTTTTTTTTTTGTTTAGCTGAATTTACTTTAAACTCATGACTAAATTATGTTCAATTCATGCCGCCAAACACTCTCTTGAGGTGCTCTTATTGTCCTAGTGTGTCAGCTAATCATAATTGTGCGATCATTGATTGGCGGGATGCTTTGATTGTTCGATTGCTATTTGGACGTCTAGCAACTTTGAGAGTCGTGCGGACTTATATATGAAGGATATAATAAATTAATTAAAAATAAAGTCTATTGAATTAAATAATATAAAAAAATCTTATGTAAAATAATATCTTCATTAACCAATTCAATCACAAATATCAATATATAATAAATTAAGGTTAATCATTAAAATTAATTAAAAGATTAATTAACATTTTTATCTTAATTGATACCCATTAATACTTAATAATTTATAAATTTATTAAAAATAATGGAATTTTATTTTATTATGGAATTAATATAAATTTGAAATTTAATTGATTAAAAATATTATATTTAAAATTTTGTATGATCGGTCTGTAAAACCCCCAAAATAAAATAAAAACGCCAAAAACTCGCCCGAAGCGCGGAAAGCTCTCGGCGCAGTGGCTACGAGCAGGAGAGTGGCGACCAGAGCGCGGGCAGCGTGCGAAGTAGAAGCAATAGTCTGACATAGAAGAAACGAAGGTAACTCTCTGACTTCCCCCCTCCCTCCTCGAGATTTAGGTTGGATCCAGCTCAAATCTTATACGTGCAAATCCTGCCACTAAACATGCAAATGATGTTTGTATGTCAATGCAGTCATTCTTGGAGACTAATCAAGGAAGCTTCAACCGAGATTTCTTGTTTTCTTCCTAGTTCTGTGTAAAATATTGTAAGGGATGGCTCCTTCGGCTCAGCTGCAAAGAGCAATAGCAGCTCTTAAAGCCATGAAGCGTCTTGGGTTTGATCAAGGGGTGTCTAAGGCAATCTTGAAAGAACTGCTCAAAGTTTATGGAAATAACTGGGAGTACATTGAAGATGAGAATTATAGGTTGCTGGCGGATGCAATACTTGATAGTCTGGAGGCAAAGGTATTGTACTGCTGATTGCTCTTTATCTTAGTTTTTTTTAATGTCTTGAGCTGTTTGTAGGCATACCTTGTAAGTCAGAAAATGAATTTAGCGAAGAATTCTCAGTAGGATCAACAGTGTGGTAACTGTTGAATTTAATGGCCTTCTATTGCTGTAAGATTTGAGTTGTAATAAATACCCTTTTTATTAGGATAATGGGGCCAATAAAAAATATCCTGCTGTTGCTGATGAACTTGGAAAACCTGTAAAGAGGCTAACAGCTGTAGATGATCTGGGCCCTTCACAATCTACACCTGAACATGAAACTTATGGTGAAACTTTTCTGAAGAAGAAAAAGTTGGTGGCATCAGGTGAAGCTTCTTTAATTAGCTTCAAAGGTGAAAAAGATAAGCCTGTGGAGGCTCAATGTTCTCATGGAGGAATTGGTGCTTTTTTATCACCGGACTCCTTACCAAAAGATGAAACAGCTGGAATTGGAGAAATGCATCCTCAACTTGCTATTAATTTTGAAGAGCCAAGAATTCCTTTGGATCATACAACTTCAAAGATAACTAGGCGTACAATGCGCTCGAGTTATCAAAGAGATGAACAATACATGTGTGACAGAGAAGACAATGTTGTCGGTTACAAAGAGCCAAAAATTGAACCAGACATTGGAGTTCTGCAAGAAACTGCTGTCATTACAACTATTCTAGATAAGCCCATTCATGTGACCGGCAATGATATCTCAACAAATTGTAATATTTCTACTGCTGTGGTAGAACCTGATAGAGTTCCTTCAGAAATTGCAGGTATAATTGTACTATCAAATATATTGAAGTTTGATATTGAAGTTTGCAATGTTTTGATTGTACTATCAAATATATTGAAGTTTGCAATGTTTTGTTTTTTTTTTTTCTGGGTATCCTATTGCTATAATTATTCAGTGTTTGTGACAATTAAATTAATGTTATGTTCCTCTAGGGAATTATACAACCGCTGATGTATATTCTGTTATACCACCACGTTTTGTCACAAACTCGTTATTTTTGTTATTAGAAATATTTTTCTTTTATATTTTCTAATTTTGTTAGTTTTTGGTTCAGAGAAGGATGACATAAATGTAACAATGGTTAAAAGGAGAGACCGAAAGAGCAATATTCCCTGCTTATTGTTTTTCTTTTGTCATTTATTTCCTCAAGCAGGCTCCACATCATAGTGGTCTACGAGTTAGTGACGGGAGTATTGCAGAAGTAAATGGCCAACTACCGACGACAATCGCAGTTTGGAGTCTCTATGGATGACACAAGCTACTCCTGCGCAAAAATTGAAGAGCTCGTCTCCATGCTCTTCAATTTTTTGTTGGAGACATGGAAAGAAATTCAGGTCTTAAAATTGGACGCCCGACAACCCGTATCAACCCTATTGAAATGTGATATGTGCAACACAATTTTGTGGAACACTAGTTGAATCCTAAATCAGAAGATGACGTAGAAGTAAGTTCACGTTTCGATCTCTCCAATTCTAATGAAGACAAATATAATTCGGGTGAAGCCCTAGCTCATGGTGAAATCGACCAATATGATATAAATTATGGTGAGTTTCATGTAAAATTTGATACCCTTTTTTTTATGATCATTTGCATATCAAATATTATCTAATTGGGAATAATCAATGAAAACCCTTTTTGAGTATATAAATATTCTATCAGAAAAGCAAGTATAAGTATGTGGCCTGTCATTTGGCAACGGTATGATGATTGCAACTCCTTAGACGCGAAGACGAGAATGCAGAGGAGCCTCCTTTTGCAGGTGCTTTAGAATGAAACAATTTATGTAGGGGCAATTTTTACCAACAGATCTTAAATACATATTATATCCCAGTACCAACATTATTTCTTAGGTTCTAAATCTATCATCTAGTACATTGAAGAATTATATGCACTCAGCGTGTGGACAATCTTTTTGAATCGAACTATCAATCAGTCATCATATACATCGACAAACTTAAAGAATCAATTTAAGATAAACTAGAATTGAATTTAGTTTGGTCTTTTTCTCAAGCCGACATAAGTGCAGTACGTTCTGATGAGTACCATTTGAACTTCTTGAACCTAGCATTCTGATTGCTAATCCAATGCCTAAGTTGAGCTCTTCTCTTCAATCCCAATCAACACCTAAATCCTTTCCAACAGATGGAGAAAAAGCTCCCATTAAGGTTAAAATTTTGTTGAACAGAACCCGTACACCAAACCCTCAAATTTGAAGTGTTTTTGCTGTTTTCAACCTAAACATAAATCAAACAAATATCCAACACATGAGCAAATTCAGCTTAGGGAAGAGGAAGCAAGCAATGAACAATAAGAAATGACTTGGACACGGGTGAAACATAAATGGAAGAAGTGGTTGGGGATGAGGAGAAGACTCTTCTGTGAATCATCTAAAAAATTTCTTCTAGCGCCATGTTAGTCCATAACATCCCAACAACATGCTATATCTCGGACAAGTTGTACCATTCACGCTAGACTTTGTGATTTACTTATCAACAATGGATGCAAGTGATCATCATTTCTCGATCGTTTATTCAAGCACTGCGTCTTAAAACCATAAAAACCCACAACCTTACAAATTAGCTAGGTTAAGAAAGATATCAGCTTATATAAAAATATTGCCTATTTTTTTGTTAGAAAGTATTTTTTGTACGAAACAATTAAATCAACGTAATCTAAGTCCTCGTGCAACCTTGACGATCCGTGTTCCCAAAAAGATATTAGCAGGCAGATGTCTGTTAACAATCAAGCAATCAACAAAATTACAATTAAATATTGATTTCTAATGCAGAGATTAGAAGACATGCTAAATAAACTTGGAGCAATTTTTTTTTCCAAACTTGACTTATGGAGTAGATATCATCATATATCGATTCCACTTGGAGATGAACGGAAAACAACTTTTGAAACATGAGATGGATTGTGTGAGCGGAAGGTTATGGCCTTTGGTTTATGTAACACACTTAGTACTTTCGTGCGGCTCATGAACGAGGGATTAGAAAATTATGTAGGAGTATTTTATTTTGTCTAATTTTAAATTATACTTGTATACAAAACTTTCTTCAATGATAATATGCAACATTTGTCTCAAATCTTTAAGGTTTTAAAAACTCACAAGCTTTATCTTAACATTCTAATGTAAGTTCGCTACTTATATTGATTCAAAAATAGCCGATGCCCGCATCTCTATTTGAATGTTGTAGTTTTTACATATATGTTTTAAACTCGATTCATCTGAGGTTTAGCATAATTTGCGGCCCCAATGACAAATTACTTGAAATCCAAAATTTTTGGTTGGAACTCCGAGCAACAACACAACTTTGAAACCCTTAAAGAAGCTCTCAATATAGCTTCGATCTTGGTTGTTTCAGACTTCAATTAACCATTCTAAGTTGACAAAAATGCTTCAACATAGGAATAAGCATTGTCCTAACCCATTTCATTTTTTAGTGAAAAGCTTGCCCGCTAAGCAAAATTAGATTGTTTACCAACAAGAACTATATGTAGTTGTATGTGCTCTCAAACAGTAGGAACACTTCCTGTTTTACCAAGTTCTTGTTTTGTGCAGTGGCCGTCAAGCATTGCAATTGCTCAAATCTCAATAATTTTTTAATTGCATGCATGTACAATGGGTTCTATTCATGCAGAAATTCATCTTTGTGCTAACAGAAATCCGGTGCTCAAAATTGGGTGTTGGATGCACTTAGTAGGTGAACTATCATTCTGAATACACTACAATTTGAGTTGTGTTTGTTATGAAATATATACATGAAATATATACCAGAGCAATTGATGTGGTATATATATAAATCAAACAGGAGAACGATCGACGAAGCGAAAAATAGAACGAGAAAAATTATACCAGAAAATAACACACAGATTTACATGGTTCGGCAAATTGCCTACGTCCACGGAGTTGCAGAGGATTTTACTATTTGAGGAAATTTACACCAGTCGATTACCTTGACTTACAAGAGGAATCACCCACTCTTCATTGCTCTCTCTCTTCTTCTCTATTTGTTCTTCTCTCTCTACACCGAGATACACCGAAGAAAACTTTACACCGAGATACACCGAAGAAGACAAACTTACAAGAGAAATAAACCCAATTTCTCTTCTGCCACAAGCCACCAAGAAGAAGCCTAGGGAGAACAATCTTTTTCTTCTTCTTCCTTCTTCTTCTTTCTGCCGCAAGAAACTACTCATCCTTGCACCTTGCACTTCTTCTCTTGCACTTCTTCTCTTCCACTGTCCCGTGAAAACCCGAAGAACTCTTCCTCTATCCTGAGGAAACCTAAAGAAGAAAATCGTGACTTCTTGTAATATCCAGATATGAAGGAGAGCCTCTCCTTTTTATCACGAAGAGAAGGGAGCGAAGGGATGCTTCTCTTCGCGAAATAGAGGAGGCGGGAACGGTTTCTGGCGAAGGGATGCTTCTCTTCGCAAAAAGGAAATGAGGGAGTGGTTATTTGTGAAGAGGTGTGACCCTTCACGATCGGAAGCGTCGTTTCGCGAAAACAGGAGAGGCGGGAGCGGGAGTTCGTGGGTTGGGTGGACCGAACTCCACGCCAGCGCTAACAAGTTGGGGGTTGTTTGGTCAACAATCTTAGGAGTGCATTGCATCCCTAATGTAGAGATTTTGGAAATTCAATTGTTTGTTCGAAAGAAATTGAAATTCAATTTAAAATATCATTCTATTTGGAATTTAGGAGTTTTTTTTTTTTAAATTTGGAATTCGTCTGATTTGGCTGAATTTTAAAAACATGTTTGAATGTAAAATGTTGTCTATCTTCTTGTAGGCCGCTGTCTGTTGCCTGTCGCTCTTCTGTTGTCTGCCATTTCTAACCAGCACTTCTACTATCCGTTGCCGCCTCCCTCTACTAGCCGTCGATTACCACCATCAATCACCTCTGCCACCACTCACAACCACTGACATATGCATTGCTTCGAAATACATTATTTTAATTTTACTTCAAACCAAATAAAAAAAAGTCGTTCGTTTATTTTATAGCAAACCAAATAACTTTAAAGTCTTTCACATACAATACATTACTTCTGCATTGTATTCATTTTATATTGCATCTCCTTTTGAACAAACCAAACATCCCCTTAGTGGGTTTTGAATCCATAAAAAATTTACATGCTAAAGGAGACTTTTCCTCATGTTGGGCATAGGCATGCCTTCAAATCAATTGAGGTTTACTCATTTTGACACGGATATTTGTACAAAGGGAAACAATTATTTATTCCGGATGCCTCCTTAAGGGTAAAACTTATCAGAGCCTTGCAGGCGACGACCTAATAACTTGTGGGACGTGAAAGACAAGCTCAATTTCGAGACCGTTTCTTTTGACCATGGCTATGAAGAGATGTCATTAGATTTGTAGAGAAATGTTCAACTTATCAAATTTATAAAAGTACAACTCAAATACTGGATTATATACTCTTCTTTAGTTCTTGGCTTTATTTTGAAAGGCTTTGGACTTTATTTTTGGCTAAACAAAAACTAAAAATGGAGCTGAAATGATCATCATCGTCGTTGGCTGATTATAAAAAATGATGCATTATGTGGCTCTTAAAAAAATTTTTGATTCTATCTTCATAGCTCGCCTCCTTTTTCATTAAAAATATTCTTCTGCATAGACTTCCATGAAGTCTCATTTTTTATCTCAATTTTAAATTTGTCAATTATTTTCTTAGAGAAATTTGAAAACGTTTATGAACTATGGTTCTGTTAAGTTTTGCCTTACCCACAAACGAATGGATAAAAAATTTAAGCTATTAACAATACCCATGGAAATATGCTTCACTACCATGTTCAAGGCATCTAAAAGCATAACATTGTTTATACAAAAGTTCCCACCCATTCATACATTGGTTGTTCTATTATTTCCCAAATGTAAGAGCAAGATTGTAGCTTCTGTGGCTGAAGTTGAAGTTTGATCCAGATTAATAGTTTCCAATTGTGTAACTATAAAACAGATGGGTAGCAACTTTAGCTGCAGAAGTTGCTGGTAGCCACCGATGGGTAGCAACTTCAGCTGATGCCACAAGATATTTGATCTTGATGATCTTGTTATGGCTAGCACCTGACACCTATTCCAAATTGAGTCTACAAAATTTGGGCGTTTGCTATACTTAATCACATCAACGATGACGTCCACAGTATAAATCTGCCTCCTAATCTTCTCAAGTCTCTTATTTCAACGTCTTTGATGTATACTCATACCATCCTCCTGATGACGCCAATATATAAGCTTATTCACTCTAGTCGTGCTCCATTGAAGCACTGGCAACTTGACGCAGTGTTCCTGTTGTGAAGTACACCGCCATTTATGTGTATTCTGTTACATTACTACGTTTGATCAATCTTTGCTATTTCCTGTTATTTAAATCGTTCTCCTATTAGATTTTCTAATTTTGTTATTATTTGATCCAGAGAATGATGACTTGCATTTGTAGTAGTGATTAAAAAAAGGAGAGAGAATACTTTTCTCTGCTTGCAGTTTTTGTTTCCCTATTTATTTCCTTAAGCAGGTTCCACGCCATAAATTCAACAGCTAAATAAATTTAACTCCTGACTGCCTAAAATCTCCCAGAGAAGTTTCTTTATAATTGCATTTCACATCACGTGGACAATCTAACTTTGAAACCTCACATTAGCAAATTAAATCAAGGATCAATTGGCCGCACACCGGAAAAACTAGCTACAATGTTTTCAATTTAGCGATCTTTGCTAGGCTAGCATTCTTAATATATCCATATAGTATTATTAATTGCATTGCTAATTTGCTATTACCATGCTTTTGAGTATGATTTTACTTGTATGTTTCATTGATTCAATCTTGGCATATTAATTACTAGTTGATTGGAATTCAGCTGAATTGTGTTTGTTTAGCTTGCACCTTACAAAGGTGAATATTTAATACTGGTAGCTGTTTATTGTTTGATTTTCTGTTGAAAAATTTTATTATTCTTTCTGCGGTTGGGTTTTGTCCGAGAGTTTTATATTCAAAGACCACATTTTCAGTTAGAGGGAATATAAGCTAATAGAAGTAAACCACTTCCACAAAGGATCACCCGAAGAGCTTTTGCTGGGTGTTGAGTTTTATATGTATAAATTGAATTTGGCTGTCTGCAGAAATTTTCATTTCTGTTACTGCTTTTTCACTTGAAACTAGCATAGTTATCTGGCTTTTTGTGTTGAACTTCTATTTAAGAGCATATTTATGGGTATCTTTCATCAGATTAGTCTCTTTTTTTTTTCTTGATTTTGTTCACTGTTCATCGTCGGATATTACTGAATCCATCCAATTGGCACTCCCATTTTCAGATAAAGACAACCAAGTTTAGTTGCTAGTAGGCTGGCCATTATTTGAGCACACATCTTAATTCTTTGCTTCCCACATATAAAATTTTTGTGCTGTTTTACATGTTTGATGACTTGAATAAATGTTGTGTAACATCTTTATACTATTCCTTAACAATTTGGATCTTTTTTCAATTCGTTTTCTCTGTTTTAGCTGTGAATTAAAGGGATAAACATATCTTCTATGGCATTCTTGGTTATACCATCACAATGTGAATTTTTAGTGCTTATCCAACTAGGTTAAATCTATTAGCTCATATCTGACTCCTCTATCAAATAGCCTGTTTTTTTTTATCAGCGTCCTCACTTCTCATCATTCTTTTACTTTTTACAGTATATGTTGCCTCTTGTATTCCTCTTTTAAAAGTCCTGACATTTGTTCTGTAATGCAATGCTGACTTGCTTTTATTACTTTTTTTTTTACTACTCTATTATAATCATTCTTAGCTAATGGAGAAGAAGCAAGGAATCTTGGGGATTCTGGAGCAAATACTTTGAATGGTCCAACACATGCCTTCAACATTCAACTAGCAACTAATAAAGGGAATGACGTACAAAATGAGCTTTCAATTAATGTTAACATAGTTTCCTCAAACATGGGAAAGGTAAAAACTTTCATTGATCTGTAGATTTGACTGCCAGAATTTTAAAATGCCTAGCATAAAATCCGTCTTCAAAATTGTCGAGGATAGGTGTTTAAAATCCTATAGGATTATTCATCCTTATTTCTCACTTATGAACCTATTGAAAGACATGCCAGAGCGCTACTGTTTTGGCTGCTGAGCTGTGCGTTCTGCAGGAAGATGTTGCCAAATTGTCTCCTCTGAATGAATCTATGGGAAGTTGTAAGACACCTGTTATTCATCGTAGTTTGACTGGGAGGTCTTTCAATGGTTCACCAAATTTAGTTTCCTTGGAAGCTAAAAGAGGCATGAATGGTCTACAATCAGGCTTACATATTGATGGTGAGAGTAATGGTTTACAGGAAAATGGTGTTTCAGAGTCCTCAAACAATAATGTTTCACACTGTTTAGCTTTTTTGCCACTTCATGAGAATGTTGTTATTGCATTCTCGCCCCAACATGATAAGCATGACATTGCAAAAGGAGAAGAAAAATTGAAAATTTCAGCTGTTAATGAATTCAATAGTGAGGAGACCCCCCCTTACTTTCGTTACATATCTTGTAATGCTGTTTATCAAAATGCTCATGTGAATTTTTCACTTGCTCAAATCAGTGAGGATGACTCTTGTATAAACTGTTTTGGCAATTGCTTGAGTGCTTCAATCCCATGTGCATGCACACGAGTAACAGGTGGTGAATTTGTCTACACACTAGATGGTTTATTGAAAACGGAATTTCTAACTGAATTCATTTATATGAACTGCTATATGGGTAAACATTTTCTCTGCTGTAAGAATTGCCCTATTGGGATGTTTAGTAGTGGCTATAAGCCTGTTGCATGCAAAGGACATCCTGTTAGGAAATTTATCAAAGAATGCTGGAGCAAGTGCGGATGCAACAAGCAATGTGGCAATCGTGTTGTTCAGCGTGGTATAACACGCAATTTGCAGGTTGTTGTCATTGTTGATACTTTTATGGATATGCTATGATTTCTTGCAATTCTGCTGATATTGAGTTTCCTCTTATTGTTCCTTTTTTTCTGCTATCTATAATTGCTGTGTGCTTCAGGTCTTCTATACTGCTAATGGTAAAGGATGGGGGCTGCGGACCCTTGAAGAATTGCCTAGGGGAGCATTCGTTTATGAATATGTTGGAGAGATTTTAACAAGAAAAGAGTTTTGTGATCGAACTGTGCAAGGGTATGGTAGTGCAGAGCATACCTACACATTAGTATTGGATGCTGATTGGGGTTCAGTAGAGGGATTGAGGGATGAAGAAGCACTTTGTTTAGATGCTACTTTTTATGGAAATGTTGGGAGATTTGTTAATCACAGGTACTGTATTTTTTGTTTTTTAGTGTAGCTGGCATTACTTTCATTCCACAATATCTTAGATGACTATTATGGCTAGGAAAATTAGTGTATTGTTGGAATTTCTTTTGCATAGCACTGTTATTTGATATAGCTTGTATATCAATTCAAAATATAGACTAGATGATGTCCTTTGGGGAGGAACTAGTTCGGCACTAATGAGCTGGATGGTTTCTATGTTATCTTTAAGTGATCTATCCAAAACGCCTGATGATCTAATGCGATTTAAGTACTTCTCCCATTCTTCTTTTTCTTAATGTTTTTTATTTTTGCATTAGTTATCACACCATGTACTTTAATAGGTTTTTTCATTATGCATTTAACATCGAGAATTATTTTTAATAAAAAATGTTACTATTCCATGGACAATACTGGTGCAAATTGATCTTTCTGTATGTAACACCTCAATCCTTATATCTTTCCCACAAGTAGGCTTTGTTGCCTTGTCAATATGTTTTGATAAAGTTGTATTTATTTGTCTTATCAAGGGTTTATTGTGTTTTTTAGCGTCCTTGTCTTATTTTAAGAATTATTAATCATTGTTTTTGTTCAGTTCATATAAATAGACCTCTTAGGGAGTGGAATGGACAACATTTGATGAACAAAATGATTTTTCTTAATTGCACGGGTTGCTTACTCTTCTTCCCTCACTATTGTTGCCGGTTCCTCTCCTTCCCCTTTTTCTCACTTTTTTTCTTGTTCCCTTGTAGCCCACAACATTTCTCTCTCCCCATTATAGTGGCGATGAAAAAAAGTCCTCTTGCTACTACCGAGTCATACATAAAATTATTTGAATGATTATTAAAGAAAACATATATTTAGATATAATTGTGCGCAATGTACATTTGATGCATTCATATCATCTATTTGTGCCAAAAGGGATTTATCAGCACACCCCTATACTTTTCTTTCCCCTTTAAGCTACTATGAATGATCTCTATAATTCAATTTTTTTCCGAACTCTTTCTCTAGTTTTATCCACAAGGATATCATTAGGGAAAAGCATACACGACGGTACATCCTTTAATGTTCAGTAATAACATCCATAACTAAAACAAAAGGATATGGGCTTAATGCTGATCCTTAATGTAATTTAATGGAAATAGGAAGTTACTAGGTCAACCTCCTATTCGAACACAAGTAATAACTTTAGCCAGCCCAAATAAAAAAAAACTTTCAAGTCAGCCAATACTTCAATCTAATTAGGTTTAGTCTAACAGTTTGTGCATTAGGTTGAGACCCTCTCAAATGCTCTAAAATTGAGATAAATGTTCTTGAGGTTCTATGATGAGGTCTTCTTACCAACAGTGTTGATGATGGTTTTGTACTTGCTCTTCAACTCGTCCTCCTTAGCATTGATTTTCCATTCACCATCTTTTCTTCGGATGGAAAGTCTACACATTTCTTTATTTTGGATGGATTTTTAAGCTCTATTGTACAGGATGAACCATTAATTCTTTTTGTAATATATTTTTATCTCTTTGGAGCAGAGGTTTTAACAATTTAAAGGAATTGATGCACAGCATTATGTTTATTTTCATGTATATTTTTTAGTGTTTTTTGTGTCAATATCGTCATATTTAATCAAGCATTTATGTCAGTTTTCCTCATTCGACCATTTATTACCAATCAAGGGTAAAATAGTTTCATTTAGGATATGATTATCATTATTCTAATGCTAATAGAGTTAGATACGCTTGGATTTATGTTTTAGTATCATGAATAATAGGTTTTATGCTGTAATTAAAGATGGTTGATGATGTATTAAAGACATGGCTTTTCTTTTGTCATTCTTTCTTAGGATCGATTTCTTCCACTTTTTCTTTTGCCCCGAGGTTTATTTTTTCTGTCTTTACCGTCACCTCCCTTCTCTTCTTTTCTTTTCAGTCTCTTTTTTCTCTTTTCCTTTCCGGTTCTTATATACTGAATTATTTCTTTTTCAACAATCAAGCTATCACAAATCCACCGAAATCTTTACTTCTGTCGATCTACCATAAAAATTATTCTTGAATTTCATATTTCCATTGAAACCTAATAACTTATTCTTGTGCTTTTGGCATGAATCTTTTCTCCTTCCATGAGAAATTATCTAATATATGCAGGAAACTTTGGCAAAATTTCATGGTTAATGTTTGGTTACTGGGGTAAAGAAGTTAGCATTGTATGTTGCTATCCGTATTTCTTGCCTGTTTTCTTGCTTTACTGATACCTAATTTAGAAAATCATCCCCACCCTTTATTCTTGGCTATTCTTTGTTCTTGTACTTCATTTCATAATAATATTTTTTGTAGATTTGTTGTTCATTTTAACACAGATGCTTATCTTCATTTGTTTCAGATGCTTTGATGCTAATTTGGTTGAGGTTCCGGTTGAGTGGGAGACACCAGATCATAATTATTATCATGTATGTGCATCCAAATTTCAAAAATCTTTGCAGGTTTTTTTTTGTAGAGGATATTTCTAAAATCCTTGTAAATGATCTCTCTAAAGTTAGGGGTGTAAACGAACCGAACACGAACGAACAGCGGTCGTGTTCGTGTTCGGTTCGTTTGAAATATAGTTTGTTTGAAATAGGCTCGTGTTCGAAATTGTTCGTGAATGGTTTGTTCGTGTTCGGTTCGAAATTGTTCGAAATTGTTCGAATTGTTCGAATTGTTCGAATTGTTCGAATTGTTCGAATTGTTCGAATTGTTCGAATTGTTCGAATTGTTCGAATTGTTCGAATTGTTCGAATTGTTCGAATTGTTCGAATTGTTCGAATTGTTCGAATTGTTCGAATT